TCGGGCATAGTCATCAGACAGTATCCAGCAGGCTACATTATCCAGACCTTCCCCTCAGTGCTGCTGCTCCCGAGCCCTGCTGGAGAGACCCGGTTCGTTAGCCTTCACGCATCCAAACACCATTAGTTAAGAAGTCTTCAGACTTGAGACAGCATGGCTTCTCTCTTACCCTTGCTATCCCCATGCTGCATGGACTTGATCTCTTAGCTCTTGCCTTGCTCCCAGTCCCTATGGTGACCCCACCATCTCCTGCCCCACCGCCGCCTCCCCTCTGCTGTGCAAGGCCTCGCAGAACTCTGGTCTTCCCCGTGCGATTTGCCACAGCACCTCCAAGTCCCATTCGCAGACCGTCACCCTCCCTGCACAGGAACCGTACAGACCCAAAATTCGAGCCAGCTTGTAACAGTCCTCCAGGCGCATTTCTACTGTCCTCTGCTTCTCCAACTTCCTTCCCTCTCTGCCTCCCAATTTCATGACTACGCTGATGAGGCAAATTCTTCCAGGACCAGGAACTTGAAGCATTTCAGGGTTCTTTTTAAATGGTATTCTTTCTTACTTGCATTCCGGCACACCATGCCTATGTACCAGGGATGCTAAACAAAGGTTGGCCAAAACTAGATAGTAAAGTTCCCAACTGCCTTTAAAAACAACAACAACAAAGAAACCCTATTTGACTTTGCAGCCCTCACCTACAGAGAAGTTGGGGAAACTAGGCAGACTCTGTTTCTACAGCCCCAAATTGCAGAATTGAAGATGTTTTGGTACAAAAGCCACATCTAGCCCATAACAAGGGAGTAGCCAGTACCATCGCTGGGACACCTACAGCTGTTGTAGGAATTAGGAAGGAGGGAGGCGGCTACCAGAGTGGGATCTGAGCCACCTGGAGCTCTGCAGATCAAAGTAATCATGTTATTCCTTACCAAGAAGCAACTGGCACAGCCAACCATGCACGCTGGCTGTAATTCCCAAGGACAGGTACTTATGTTGGAGGTGGATAGCACTAGAGTCACCTGACTTTGAAGCCAAAAAATAAGTGACAGCTAATGCCTGCAGCCCAGAGACACGGAGCCAGCCGTCTTACGAGGAGCCCACAGCAAGTATCCACGACTGTAACAAGAAGTATGTGACAAGCAGCAAGAGCCACCACAGGTGTCCCCCTGCCCATCAGTAAGAGCTGCAAGTGCAACCTGTAAAGCGCACCAAGGCACACTCTGCGATGCCACCTTAGATAATGGGATGACAGATATCTTGTCCTCGTGCGTGCCCCTCTCTGCCCTGGCTCACCGGGCACATCAGGAGCAACTGCGGCAGTGCACAGGCCAGCCCTTTCTTCCTGGCCACTCTGAGAGTCCCGGGCACTAAATCAATGAGCCAGAGCACGGAGGAGCCCTCAAGTCAGAGGAATGTGTGTCTCAAAACTGTCATGCCAGGAAAGGCCATTTACCTTTCCGAGCATTGGCTAGGCTATTATTAACCATGGTGAACTGCTACAGGACACAGATGCTAACCCTGCAAGAAACAGCATGGACAACTCATCCATGGTAAATCCCAGGAAGGGGAAGTCCCTCAAGATGAGCTGCTGCCATACACCCAAGCTGCAGTGAATGCTGATGGTATCAGATCAGAAAAATCCCTGCACTGCTGGAGGCTCTTGCATGCTCTCTCTCTATTACAGAAAGTGAACTTGTGATGCTGCCTGTTCTGCTCTTCTCTATCCCCTGCGTGATCTAGCTCAAGGTTAGTTTCAAAAAGCAAAACATTGAGTGACAGAACATTTATCGTTAATAAACTCACAGGAGAAGAATGGCGCTGGCTTCCCAGGACCAGTGCGCTAGAAGGACAAGGGAAGTACACAAGTACCGTGAGAGAAGACCGACTTTTAGCACAGCTTCACCGTTGTTTGTCATACCAATAGCGGTGTGCAACTAATACAGCTATTTTCTTCATCAATTATTAACTGGGCAAAGACTATTTGTTTGAAAAGCTGCACGGAAAGTCCAGAGAGGAAGCAAGCAGTTTCAAGCTCCACATGCATGCCCTGCGATAGGCTTGGGATCCTCTCCAGATCAGATATGCCTTGCTCTTCAGGGGCCAATGGCTCGGCTTCCAGCAGCGGTAAAGGAGGCAAGCCTGGGTGCTTGCTGGAACCGGGCACCGGTCTTCCGGGCAGAAGCTCATCTCTCATGTAGGCCCCATCGCCTTTGTGCCCAGGGACGAGGCTGTGGTCAGCAGAAGGTATCTGAAGGCCATTGAGCAGTACTGGGGCTGTGCCCAAGGCTCTTCTCTCAGGGGTCAGCACACAGACCCCACCATGTGCTAGTTGCGTCAGCATCTGCCCAGCAAACTCCCCGTACAACTTTTCCACTGTTCATGGGAACCAGCTTCTACCAGCCACACTCCTCCTCCACCATCTTTCCTCCACCTAGCTCACATTTATTGCCAGACCACACAAGAAAGTGTGTTGCACAAAGCCAACAGCAGGGAAGGTACTTCAGTGTAAGCCCTGAGGTATCCTGCAGCTTTTGTTTGGCAGGAATTTTTCCAACATGAATTGGGAAATGTCTCTCCTGAACATTGAGGCATGTCAAGACAGCTGAAGGACCAGTGGTTCA